CTAACGTCCCATGAGAGCACTTGATCTGTCCCACAAACAAACAAAGCCTTAAAAGGAACAGTTTTCTAAGAATTTTTAAAACGCCTCAAAGAGGACACACCGTTAGCGATGCAAATGATTCTTTCTGTTACTCAGACGGTTGGCCTGCTGATGATTGCATTTCAGCTTATGTTCGGCCCTGTGGGGGTTTTCTGCCACATTCAGGTCATTCAACCTTGTTTATGGGCAAAGTTCAAAAGAGCATGTGTGTTTTTCAAAGAGAGGACGCAGGGATCAACCCGCATCGGCACAGACAGTTCAAAGCAAATGCACGTTGTTTGACAGCGACGGTCCTCCACTGACAAGAGCCGATTTTAGCTCGAGTGTCAGCAAAATGTGCAGCAAGATAAATGGATTGCTCAAGGGTCTCGAAGCGAATGGACTGCCAGTGTTCATCAACTCGAGTAGGATTACTAGGAACTAGCATAGTGGGAAAAATGGGGATTCCCACCCCGCTCCCTCCTCCATTAATTCCACGTGCTGCAATAGTTTCCTCGGACTAATCGATTCTGAACACATTCGCCCCGTTTCTTGGAGGTGGAAATCGGAAATTCAGCTTTTATGAAGAAAATACTGAGCAACAGCAAATTTTAATCTGTGACGGCTTTGTGTATTTTTGACGCTGATTTCAAACATGTCTTTCCTTTCTGTTGCAGCACAGCATCAAAATGGATTTTACTATGCGTTGCAATTCATAGCTAAGATGTTTTGGATTAAAAGTCAACTGGTTGCTGACCTTAACCCTTAATGCATAAATATTACTGTGTTACTGCAGTTCGTATAATGCAGGGATGTTGTTATACTTTTATTATTATTATGATGAAAACCTGATGTGACAGAGGAAAAAACAAGGGCAGATTTGGAATCAGCGCCACCCCCAAAAATCTCCCAAAAAGCTTACTTCCTTTCCGATGAAAAAAAAAAGAAATCGGAAAAAATTGTTGACCAGTGTAATTAAGATCAGTTTTCTCAACAACAAAACAGTAGTCACAGATACTACAGTGAGGCTGGTGACCTGGAGCTCTCGATCTGGATAGCTGCCAGGTCTTTGTGGATGCTTGTCTCACCTACAAAGTTTTAAGTGTGCTTGCACCCCCACCTTTAGATAAATTCATTTAGAGGAGAAATAATCAAGGACGGAGATCTAGGGCCTTGACCAGAGTTGATTGCATTATAAGAAGATGTAGGACAAAATTTGGTCAAATGGAACACAATCCTGGAATAAGTTGCCAATACACATTAGAGACTGTGATAACTATGCACTTAAAAAAACAAGTAAACAGTGGCTAAAAATATATCAGACATGCACCCATTAAACACATGCACCCAGACTCCAGCCCGTTCCATTGGGCTTCTGGCCAACAAATTTGTAGCTGTAAGTGATTGGTCTGTCCTGGTCTATTGTCTTGTAACTGCTTGTCTTGTGTCTGTTTTATGATGGCTTACTTATTTGGTTTTTATTTCTTTGATTTTAAAGTCTTATGTGTCTCACTGTGCTATTTTAGAAACCTGCCTTGGGACGATGGTTTAAAATTAGCATTTATGCTAAATCTGGCGCATTTACACTGTTTATTCTTGTGTTGATTAATGTGCATTGTCCCAATGAAATAAATGAATTTAAAAAATGGATGTTAAGTGCTTAATGCAAAATCATAATCAGTGAAATACTCGATTCTAAAAATATTTGCTAGTTGCAGCCTCATTTGTGACGCATAATAAAAATACAGGTAGGTACCTGCCTGAAAGCCACAATTGCGTAAAAATATTTGCTAGTTGCAGCCTCATTTGTGACACATAATAAAAATACAGGTACCTGCCTGAAAGCCGCAATTGCGTTGAACACACAAGATGGGAGAGGCAAGTTAAACTTCAGACTTGGGTCTCGGAATTGTGACTCTGAATTGAATTGCAGCGATTTTTGCGAGACCTCTGTGCAAAAGAGGCTCTTGAGTGAAACATCCCTCCTTTTCCACTCGCTTCATCCAATCGCTGAAAACAGTTAAAATTGAGCTTGACATTTGGGTGGCTATCAGGCATGAGTCAGCGGCCAATCTGCAGTGAAGAACAATTCCTGGCACGTTAAGATGCCGCTTCCTCATTTTGGGCTCCCTTTGGAAAATGGAATGACCTCGGGAGGTGGAGATGGGCCACAGCAGCTAAATCAAAGCCAAGAGCGAGAGAGAGAGAGAGAGAGAGAGAGAGAGAGAGAGAGAGAGGGGAAGGAGATAGAGAGAGAGAGAGAGAGAGAGAGAGAGAGAGAGAGAAACCAGGCATCTAAGTTCACTTTGCCGCTGACTATTAATGAAATAAAGTTTAGTGACCTCTGCCTCTCAAGGACACACACACACACACACACACACACACACACACACACACACACTTCACTGTAGCAGTAATGAGATCAAACGATTACAAATTAAACAACAAAGCTCAACTTCCAGCAACATGAGTTAATGGAAGACTTTGCCACATTTCATTGGTTTGTGGTTAGAAGCATTTATTTACTCAGCTACATATGGAGGAGACATCAACTTTAAACCCTTATTTGTAAATAGATAGATAGATAGATAGATAGATAGATAGATAAATACATACATTTTAAAAGGTGGACTTTAAGTCCAAAATGTTTTTGGCCATAATATGTTGTAGGTGTCCCCAGGAGTCTAAACATGAATTCTGATTCATACGGCATTTGGGAAATAGGAATGGAGCATACAATTTCATGTGGTTTTATCCATCACAGGGAGCAGCCATTTTGTCTTGTACTGCCACTTGCTGTCGACTAAAAATGACATCACGGTGGCTGTCACGCGACCAAACCCAGAAAACAGGTGAGCCGTCACATTCTCAAGCTGACCCCTGAGTAATTGTGATGTCATTTTTCTTCGAAAACAAGTCGCAAAATGGCTGGCTACGCACGGAGATGACAGTTTTCTATATGAATGGAGTGCTAATGCAGCTTTCACACCACAGCAAGAAGTGAAGCCATTTTACGTTGCCACTTATTAAGCACGCCAAATTTCAACACATTGGATTCTCTGCTGCGTTATCACATTTTTTTCTGTCTCTACTGCAAAAAAAATTCACAATGTGTTGGTGTGCTGTTATACCAATAAGTCAGGGAGCCCTTCGGGAGAAGGTTTGTTGAGAAATACAAACCTAGATTTTGCTAAGTCACGATTCATGATACAAACAGTTCAGTTTATTTTTTAAGAGGCTCTCATTACTCTATACAACAGGGGTTTCCAAACTCAGGTCCTCCTGCCTGTTTTCTATCTCTCCCTGCTGCAACACATCTGATTCAAATTTTCGAGGACTGAGTTTGGACACCCCTGTTATACAGAGATCTTAACGTAAAACCAACACTGATAACAGTGTTTTCAGCCAACATAAATTGTCACTAACAATGGCAACATAACATGGCTGCCCTTTTGCTTCAGTCCATTCACATTAAAGACTGTGTCGGAGATGGGTTACAGAAAAGGTGTATTTTGCTGCTTCAATCATATTTCACAAACCCACTACTGAAGTGGGGGTGCACAGAATATATTATTGCAAAGAAAATGCTTGACTTTAAAGATCAAAGATTGACTCTTGATTTGAAAGAAACAACCACATAGCTAATATAGTTTATTTAATATGTGGCCCAGGACTACTGATTCTGAAGGCACTGGGCAGATTGGATTAATTTAGCAACACATGGAAGCTATTAGACAAAAAAAAAAACAAAACAAAAAAAAAAAAAAACAAGCAAACAAAAAAAAAATCTAACATCCAAATGTAGCCTACTGGAAGCAGTGCAAGCAAGAGAAGCACTACGGAATAAGAGAATAGACTTGGGGGATCCCCAGCAGGCTATTCTGTTCCCAGTGGGAATATGTTAATATGATTTCATGCAACAAACATTCAAATTCGGGTCAGTGCTGCTGTTGTTGTTGAGGTGGACAGAGTGTGTCATCGGGGAATTAGATTGAGAAGAGGGTACCTAATAACGTGAACACTTTATGTCACTAGTGTCAAACTCAAGGCCCGGGGGCCAGATCCGGCCTGCCACATCAGTCTATGTGGCCCGCCAAAGCAAATGATGTGCATCAAGCGTCATGTTTCTTGTTCATTACCAACAATGCAAATGGTCTTTGCTTGTTGAAATATTGCAAGAATTTATTTGCTCTCAATCACCCTTTTAAAATCAATATAACATTAGAAAACATTTTAAAACGAATTTTATCACTATTACTGGTCCCCGATTTCAAAACTAGTTTCTCATAGATTTGTTGCGTGTTTGTAATCGGAGACAACCATATGTTTATTTGACTTCACGCTGTGAACTTCAGTCAGAATGGCCCTCCGAAGGAAACCCTAACTCAGTGGTCCTTAACCTGGGTTCGATCGAACCCCACGGGTTTGATGAATCGGTCTCAGGGGTTCGACGGAGCCTCTGCCATGGAGGTTAAGACACACCTGACTCAACATATCAATTAGTTATGACACGCCCGCTTGGCCGTCACTGGCTGCAGATGATCACTTTACATTGCCTGTCCAATCAGTGCTGCGGGAAATTTCGTTCGCTCAGTAGTCAAGTGTGACTGTCGTGATAGTGCGTCGTAAAATTAAAAAAACATGTACTTATGTCTTGAATTTTTTTGTCTGTTTTTAATGAATGCATTTTTTTAATGTCTTGAATTGAAAAATAAAAAGTCATATTTTTGTTTTTCACTAATCCAGGGTTCGGTGAATGTGCATATGAACTGGTTGGGTTCGGTACCTCTAACAAGGTTGAGAACCACCGCTCTAACTACCATGTGGCCTGCAACAAAAATGAATTTGACACCCCTGCTTATACAATTAATAGACTACCAAGCGATCTGACACACGCGCGCGCGCGCACGCACACACACACACACGCGCACACAATAAATAACGCCCCCCCTCTTGTGACGTCACAAGAGTACAAGGAGCTCGTGCAGGGTGAGCGAGCCTGCAGTGGTATGACATCAACAACAGAGCCATACCCGCGTTAATTATCATGTCCTAGCCCCCCTTTTGAGTAAGCATTAAAAATGAAACTTTTTACTTGGCGCGATCACACGCAGAACAATAATTGATTCTTGGGAGATGTGGGGGTGTGCGGGAGGGGGGTCGGGAGAAGTTTTGGGATTTAAATTCAGGAGCCACTCTTGTCTTGTTTGCCACATGCTCTCAGGATGAGACGATCTGACGCGGATCGAAACAGCCGAGCCCTCAAGAACCGGTAAATACTTTTTGTTGTTGTTGTTTTAATTGTTATTGTGATTATTATTTCAACTGCTCCGGCACTTTGATTGCGGTTTGAACGGGTTGGAAACGTGAAGTTTATGTGACTGTTGCTGCGTCGACTTTATCACTGCTGCTCAAAGGCGACGTTATCCCGATCGGTTTCTATCTGTAGTTTACAGCCGGTGAGTGGAGGCAACAGAAGAAAAAAAATGCACTGAAAAAACGTCTGGTTCTCACTTTCTTAGGTTTTGTTGTTTCTAGGTTGGTTGCCTGCTTTTGTTTTATTCTCCGCTGACAACAGCCGAGCATTTGTTTGCAGACAATGACAAATAGCACTAAAATGTTGATCCAACAATGCTCACTGTCGTTTTATTAGGTACACCTTTACAATCTAAAAATATCCAAGCCATTTCTGCTGCAAGATTTGATGCTCGGGTGATAATTTGATTGTTTGTTGCATATGAGAGCTCTTCAAAACAAGGTTGCCTTATCAGAAGCAAATTATACATACAACATATTTAATCAAAATTAAAACTCCCAAAGAAAAAAAAAACAATTAACAGTTATGGGTAGTATTTGTATTTTGGTTCCATTAACAAAAGAGATTACATACATCATTCATTTGTTTTTTGTTATGGTTAACAAGTGTTTTTCATTGAAATAATTACTGTAATTGTTGACGTTACAAATGGAGCTCAATGGGTAGCACATCAATACTTTGTCGCGTACGTAGTCTTTCCAAACTGACAATTGTTTTTTTTTGTGTTTTTCTTCTAAGTCATAATTTTATTTAACATTTTCATTCCTTCGGTGTGCTTGTCCTATACCAGTGAATAAACCTGCAAAACCCAGTAAACAAAGTTGGGAAAAAATTAATCTCACAAATAGGGCACGCTCAGTTGCAGTCATACTCACATGACATTTGGATTTTTTTTTTTTATGAAGATTTATGTATACAGATTTTTCAGAGCAATTAGGAAATTTTAAAGTAACAAATAATGATCGTGCAATGAAATAGTTTGCTGGGTAGAATACTTTATCATGTGGTACATGAAGACAGCTACTGCTGTGCTCACTGTTTGTTTTTCATTGTGATATATTCACAGATAGAAGTGATTTCATACAGAAAATTACAGTTAGTATGACATCACTCCTGCATTAGCAACAGTTTGCACTGCCAAAAACTTTCAGTTTGAATTGGACAAAAAAAAAAAATAATAATAATAATAATAATAATGCTGATTTATTTTGGTGTCGTCAGAGTCTGCGCTCGTACTGAGCCCCGCAGACAAGGCTTTAATACTTCACAACAGCGAATCACTGTGGTTGCATTGTTTCTCAAAGGTCTTAGAGCAACAAGTGATGCCAAAATTAAAATGATGAGCCGAGTAGGCAGTGTAATAAATGGAAGTCAATCTGCAACCACTTACCTTCGTGGCTGACAAGTTCCTCCTACACCTGTGCATTACGGCCAAACTATTTTAACTTGTTGTCTTAAAAAAAAAAAAACATTCAGACTTTCCATCTTGAGGCGACAAACTGCGGCATGGCTCACACAAGTTGGGGGAAGAGCTCTTTTATAATACTTCTCAGTTGACGCGTCCAAGAGTGTTAATAATTTTGCTCTCAAGCTAATTTCAACACTTGCAAGGAAATTGTATGGCTGCTTGGTGAACAAGACAAATAAAAATGGTCGCATTTAAAAGTCTATCTGAGGCCCGACCCTCAGTTTGCAAACCACCCCTTGCTTTAAAGCAGACAAAACTAGACTGTGCTGTCATCTTCAGACCATGTTTAGTCCAGCCGATGCATAAATCATTTGTCAGACACACATTATTGGATTCGATTGCATGTTTGAGAGTAAAACCCTGACAAGCAGATGTGCGCCATGTTTAAATAAATATTTGAGTTTTATAAATCAGGTCTGAAGCAGACGGAATACGTGTTGCGGGTTGGCTGAATTCACACTCAGCCTTGGCAAGTGCATGTGGTTGGGACAGTGCCTGGCAGATCCAGCAGATGGCACTCTTTTTTCCCAGTATGTATTTTGTATTTAATACAGAGCAGTCGGTGTGGTAAATTAGTCTCCTCATCAACTTTATAGTGTTGTATGAAGGCTCATTGTGTACGTGTGTCTAAATTCTTGAACCTGTTTTTGATTCAACTTGTGAGAATGCACGATTGGCAAAGGGGAACCTTTATTGGCCAATGAGGCACTCGTAATTGAGTTTGGTGAACTCTGCCTAGCAACAAGTGGTCGTGAATATGGTACAAATATTATTTACCACATAGAATGCCAGTATCTTAATCTCATGTTTTGTTTTTCAGATTTAGATTATTTGAATTCCTCCTTCGTATTTGTTTTCACATTGGTGCTTGTGTCTGTGCTATTGATACAAGTGTATGGGTGTGAATAAAGTGACAATTTAATTTCCCTCAGGGGATAAACTGATATCTACGTATATATCTCGTTCTGACAGATCTCCCCATGTGGTGTGTTTTCTGCCGCCTTGTTGTTTTGGCCATTTTTTTTTTACTTCATGGCAGGCGCCAGTTTGGAGGTACCGAGTCTGTTGCTGATGTCGTCACGCTTGAAATATTTGATTACAGAATGCTGTGTCAATGCAGGAAAGCGTACAAAGTTGTGCGAATAATCGCACTGTCGTTGGGTTCTGTGTAAAATGCAAAGGCAAAAAATAAAATGCCTTGCCGTCTGTTATGGCTCTGATATGCCGATTCCGTGGCATCTTTATGTGAAAGGGACTCGTTAGCAAGAGTAGGGTACTCACCCAACATAAGAATATACAGCTAGCCCACATTTATTGTGAGGGATATGTTCCAATCCCTCCTGGGAAAAGTAAAAATCTGCGATTTGAAACCATTAAAAAAAAAAAAAAAAAAAAAGGTTACAATTACAGTTGACATTTAATCACCAAAATGTTAAACCAAACCACAGAATGAAAGTCCACTATCATATAAAAGGGAGAGTTTGCGGTTTCTAGGCAGACTAATTCCCAACCACATCCGTGCCCCTGACTGACATTTGATTCTCAAACATGGCCATTCATAACGGCATGCAACTATGAAAGTGACTAGCTGTGAAAAATCGTCACGGAGAATCCTGTCTGGCTTCAACAAAATAGCAGCGCTAGCAATGCTAAGATAGCATTAGTGCTGTCAACAAGTCAACATTAGACACAGCTGCTATGTTGGTAGGATGAATTAATCATAATAATGTGTAATCAATTACAAATCAAAAAGAGAAGGTAAATAATTTGTTTTAACATCGGTACTAAAAATGATGTCTTTAAGACACGTCACAAGGAAGCAGTGACAGCTCAGACGAAGGCTGAAGTGACAGCCGAAACTGTCAGCTCGGTCAGAGTTTTTCCATTGTGTGGAAAAAAAAAGAAAATTTTTAACCTAACTTGAAACCTAGAAGAAAACTTACCTGCCATGCAAAAAGCGTTGCTCATTCAGCGTCACTTGCGTATCTCTTCAGCTGCCTGTTTGCCAGCTTGCTCAGTTATTAGCAAAGGAAGGATAAACAGATGAATTGATTTATCCCCCACCAACCCCCGAGGTCGATATTCCAAAATCGGCTGAAAACGCCGTGTATGCAAAACGCCATGGACAGTCTAACGAAATTAGCATGCAGAGAAAGATAGATAGACAAATACTTTATTCATCACTTTGGGGGAAATTCTGGCATCTCGCAGTTTAGTGTCAATTGACCAAAATAAACACGTATGCATCTACGCATAAATACATGAAAAGCAAGACACCATGCGAGGCAGGCAGCCAGTAATCAGCCACTGAGTCCAAACAATACAAGTACTGTCAATAAATGGGCCCCAGTCATGAGCCGACGCACTCGGTTGAGGCACTGAACAAAACGGTCTAATTGCCGGTGGGACAAAGGACCCCCTGAAGCATTCAGTCCACAAGTTTACTGAGAATAGATGTTTTGGTAATTATAAACCCTCAAACAACTGCTGCTTAACATGGAGCAGCAAAATATACAAACAGAGTATACCGCAATGCTCACAGGCATGTATTCTCTCTGCTGTGAGAGAACAATTATTCAGACTAGGAATGTTCGATACCGAGTATTTATTCTTGAGTACTGACCAATACTGATTCCAAGTGCCGATACCACTAATACTTGTGATCGATAAATGTGCCGATGTGTCAAATGGACAAAATGTAGCAAAGACAAGCAAGAAAAACTTAACTCAATGTCAGATTTTTTTTTTTGCCTTTAGGATCGAGAATCTTGAAATAAGGCTGGTATCTGCCCAATACTTGTTATCGATATCGATTGGTACTTCAAAACTTAGCACCAGGGCATCCTCTTCTTCTTGCCATTAATTATGCTGCATCTCGCAGCATAACTTGCGACTACGCCGAAGGTACTGAACGCAACCCGACATTTGGATTGCTTGCGTACTGTGAAAACCCATTTAAAACAAAAAACAATCATTGATTAAATCTGTGAAATAGTGGAGGTTGTGGGGGGGCAATGAGCAACTGTAATTGCCGTTTTAATATTCTGGCTGTGTCTTGACTCCTAATTGGAACCAATTGGACAGCGGCACAAAGTGCAAGAACAATTTGGGCATGTTGATCTTATACGCCGCCGCAACGGCTAATGTCATTAAGGCCATTAAGCGTGCAAATATATTCGGCACAAACGTTCGTGCTGTGCCTTCATGAATGAGTGATGCGTGTTGTCTTAAGCGGTGATCGGTGCACACGTCGCGGCTGTGAGTAGCGTGCGCTTCCATGGATACAAAATGAGCACAAGAGATCTTTCCTCTATACTCAGACATTTTCTCTTATGTCAAACCCAGACAGAGTTTTTAAGGTGACCCATTTGTTTGCCTGCTTCGTTGTATGTTCGGCGAGACTCACCGTGTGGAGGACTCGGGTGCCAAGTTGGCCTGAAAGGGCAAAAACTGAAAGCGCGTTTTGGTATTTCCGTCTTCCATGGTC